CGTTTTCTTTGTGAGTATTTATTACACAGCGTGCTGCGGGGAAAAGCCTGTTCTAACGTTTGAGTCTAAGGTTTATTTTTAGCACCTGACGGCTCTTTTTTACTTCTCATCCGTAAACACTCTGCATCCTCTTTCACGTGATTCAGTTTATTTTGAAAAGTCTCAACGGGATCTTGAGCTTTATGGTGAAAGGTTTATGTGGAAAATAAACAAGCGGACACGATGCGTTTTCGTTGTTGCTAACGACAACGCATAAAAACAGGCGCCTGTCCGTCTGTAGTGTGGTTATATTAAATATAAGAGAAAGAGAGAACTTTAAGAAATTAATATAGCCACTACAGTGACCATCAAAACCATGAAAAAATATTGCCGTAAACAGTTTATTTTGCGACACCACGAAACAAACGGCAGTGTAAAATGAAACGATAGACGTTTTTATATCGTCATCCGAAATATATCGTTATATCGAACAGCCCTAATTTGATCAGTGCCAGGAGAGTAGCCTTTATAGTGAACTTCATCACCCGAGGTGTGGCAAATCACAGAAGCTTTTTTTTTTTAGACACTTGTTCAGCAGTTCCAGGTTTCTACTGCAGGAACTGTCTCTTACTGAAATCCATCATTTTGCACCAGTTCAGGTCAGCCTGTCTGTCACAACATATTTATAGCAATAATCAGTTTATCACATTTCAGTTAAATCAAAGCAAAGACTTCAATAGTTATAGATGGTAAGATTTGCTGTTACTGGTTACAAATGCTATTTCCATTTCCGTTGGCTTCTCCTCCTCCTTGCTGACGCTCCCACCTCTTTCACCAGGACATGTCAGAGAACAGCGGACAGCAGCTGCTGGTCAAGGCGCGTTTCAACTTCCAGCAGACCAACGAGGATGAGCTCACCTTTGCTAAGGGCGATTTCATCAACGTGACTCGTCAGGAGGAGGGCGGCTGGTGGGAAGGGATGCTTAATGGCAAGACTGGCTGGTTTCCTAGCAACTACGTGCGTGAGGTCAAGGGCTCCGGTAGGTACCTCAGCTAACCTGATGAGTGATTAACAGGGTCTGATTAAGAATTTATGGGAGACGCAGAACTTCCTGATGCGCTTTTAATAACTAACTGGTTGAATTTCTGAAACAAATTTCACATTTAGAGACGCTCTCATGCTATTTCCAAAATTGGACTCACTAGACCAAGATATTAATACCTTAGTGTAGTGATTCATCACACTGTGTTTGTTACAACATAAAAAATTGGCAGTTGCATCCTTCAGTCCACGTATTTCTAAATAAATCCCCTGCCCCTGCGTACCTTTGTGGAAAATAGTATACTAAAGAGAAATCTCTGTCACGCTCACCATTTGCACAGCTTCACAGCTGCCTTTGTCACCATCTTTCCACCCGATGTCGTGACAGTAATGTAGTGCCACATCTGCTGCAGTCTTTTGTTTTTTCCCGCTTGTGTCGAGATGCCAGTGACACAGCGCTGCCACTGTGAAGATGTTTTCGAGTAACACAAGATGTGTTTCTCTGCATGAAGGGTTCATTTTAACAAGCTAAAACTGTGGTTAGGAAACTTGAGGCCAAGAGAAGTGCACCGTCCTTTGTGTCTCGTATTTCGAATATTTTAACCTTGGTGGGAGTTTAAATGACTCTGCTTTCACTGTAACCCAAAACATGGCAGTTAATTGGTTTGGGTTGTTTTCTTTATTTACGTAAGGAATAAATAAATGTATGCCCAATGGTTTCTGTATAAACAATTTATATTTTTAGTGGTATCTGAAGTCTTTTAGAAAGCATTTACTGAGATGTGGTATTAAGGCAGTGAGGAGGGATTGTAGTTTTATTACTGATAAAGGAACTCATTATGTTACTTTATAAGTGCTGTAAAAGATCTTAGTAAACACGCACTGCAACAGCCACTTAAAGTGCATTTCCTTCAGAGATTGCATCACTTTTCTTTTTATGCCTCTTCCTTATTATAATGGTAACAATGATGCCTAAGCATTTGTAATATTTCATTTATTTCAAATCAGCTGTCATAAAGTTGGATTTTATGAAATGCTTCATGGCCATGGAGCATACAGCCAATCACATGGCAAGTAGAAACGGTAAGGCAACCCACTGAAGTTCAAAATGAGTATCAGACTGGGGAAGAAAGGTGCTTCAAGTGACACTGAACGGGACATGGTTGGTAGTGGTCAGAGTATTTCAAAAACTGCTGATCTACTGGGATTTTTCCACACAACCATCTCTTGGGTTTACAGAGAATGGTTTGTAAAAGAAAATGTCCAGTCAGCGACAGTTCTTTCGGAGAAAATGTCTTGTTGATGCCACACTTTAGAGGAACATCTTTCAAGCTGATACCAAGGCAACAATAACTCAAATAACCACATGTTACAACCGAGGATAACTGTAACATTTCACAACATACCAAACATTATAGCAAATGGGCTTTAGCAGCAGAAGGCCACATTTGGTGCCACTATTGTCAGCTATGAACAGGAAACTGAGGCTACAATTCACACATGCTGAAAACTGCAACATAAGATTAGAGAAATATTGCGTGGTCAGATGAGTCTCGATTTCTGCTGCTAAATTCAGATGACAAGGACAAAAAAAGCATGAAACCATAGATCCATCCTGCCTTGTATCAATGTTTCAGGCTGCTGATGGTGTACCGATGGGGGTAATTTTTCCTTGGCACGGTTAGTTGAGCGTAATTTAAACACGACTATTGCTGCTGACAGTATGCATCCATCCTTTTATGATTATGATGTGCGCATCTCCTCATGGCTGCTTTTCAGCAGGATAACGTGCCATATGGCGAGGCTCAAATCAGCTTAAACTGGTTTCTTAAATATAACGGTGAGTTCACTGTACTCAAAGGCTACAGTTAGAATCTGCAGCAATTGTGATGATTCCAGCACTTTGAATCTGAGCCACGAAGAATTAAGGCACTTCTGAATGGATAAGGGGGTCCAACCTAGTGCTGTGACGGTGTACTTAATAAAGTGTGCAGTGATTTATAAACTGTGGGTAGACAAACTGGCTTGTTGATGGGGTTTGTGTAATATTGAATTCAAAATGGCTTGAGGGTCAGTGTATACTTGCATCAATCACATCATTTGTTTCCCTTCTGATCGCAGACAAACAAGTGTCCCCCAAGTCTGGCACCCTTAAGAGTCCACCTAAAGGCTTTGACACATCTGCAATCAGCAAGACGTACTATAATTTGGTAAGTAAGCAACTTAACAGATTTTTTTTTTGCTTTCTCCTGTTAGTATTTTTTTCCTCCATGCACTTCTGTGGCTTTTCTTGTTTCTTGTTTCACGTTTTTGTGTGGGTCTTTGCTTTTTTCCCCTTCTGTTAATGATCTTCACTGAAAGAAACTGTCCTCTCAGTTATTTTGCCTTGCATGCATCTGTGATCACAGCTGCATGATGGGCAAAATTGTTTTATTACACTGCATCTTTATCACATAGTAGCTACTCTGTGTATGGTTATCTGTATCTGTGGGTCTTTTGGCTGATGTACAACCAACTGCATTAAATGGATATTTAAAAAAAAAACAACTGATTTTATTAAAAAAAACTGCCCCTTATTGGAGTTATAAATATTTTGCATTGTAATCCATTTTTAAATGTAATGCTGGAGGACAGCACTGAACCCAAAGCTATGTTTTTATTCATTTATTTATTGTTGAAGATCAAATTATGTATGCATCTTCTGTTCTTGTGTTATTAATTACCTTGACAGAAATTGTGAAAATAATTGATACACTGTGTATTTACATCCACATTTTAATCTTGTATGTTGGTGTGCACTAGAAAGCAATCAAATAAATATTTCGATTTTCAGAATGAGTGTTATAGCTGTTCTGAATGACTATAACAAATCAGTTATTATAGATAATAATTTAATTTCTCTCCTCTTTATTTTTAGGTGTTACAGAACATTTTAGAAACAGAGACTGAATATTCCAAGGACCTTCAGAGTCTTCTGATGAACTACCTGCGACCTCTTCAGAATATTGAAAAGTATGACTCACTTTGACATAATGCGACATAACATGCAGTTCTTTTGAAATGTATAAAATTCACGTGAATTGTTTGTTTGGTTTTTTTTGTTTTTTTTGCATAATCTAAAGGACTAAGTGGGCAGAAGTCCTTGGCTTACTTGTACATATTACTGAATTTTTTTTTTTTTTTTACCAATCTCCGTACTTCATCACTTTTTCTTCCAGACTGAGCAGCTCAGATGTGGCTCTGATTCTGGGAAACCTGGAAGAGATCAGCACCTTCCAGCAGATGCTCGTCCAATCACTGGAGGAGTGCACCAAGTTAGTCCCTCCCAGCACACACAGCCCCACTGCAGCAGCATCTTCACTGTTTCTCAATACACAGAGGGACATCTAGTGTTGGGCTGCATGTACTACAGGGATATTGGGCTAGACCAGGGTTGGGCAATTCCAGGCCTCAAGGGCCAGTGTCCTGCAGGTTTTAGATCTCACCTTGGGTTAACACACCTGAATCACATGATTAGTTCATTACCAGGCCTCTGGAGAACTTCAGGACATGTTAAGGAGCTAATTTAGCCATTTAAATCAGCCGTGTTGGTTCAAGGACACATCTAAAACCTGCAGGGTAACCGGCCCTCGAGGCCTGGAGTTGCCCACCCCTGGGCTAGACTGTACTTAGACTATGAAAATTTACGGAATTACACTGCATATGTGTATATTGCCTCTTCTTGGTGTAGGAGAATTAATATAGGTGTATTTTGACCTACTGCGATCCTATTTTTTATTTTTGTTTTTTATCTGTTTAGGCTTCCAGAAAGCCAACAAAGGGTGGGCAGCTTCTTCCTCAAGCACATGCCACAGATGAAGGCTCTCTATGTTGGTTACTGCTCGAACCATCCCTCTGCAGTTAATGTACTCACCCAATACAGGTATGCTCATATCAGCTGTATTTAGTATCATTAAACAGTGTCGCCGGCCTTTCCCCACACGTGGCACAGCAGGTCGTACAAATGACCCTGTTAACAAATCTTGTTGACGTTAAATTTGGTCTTAGCTTCCTCTCGTTTAGGCTTGCCACTGTCATCATCACTGTCCAGTCGATATTCCATTGTTACACACACTGCTGTTGAGGTGGGTTTTTTTTAATTTAATGTATTTGCAGTAGTAAATTACAGAGGGGACATCGTAAGAGGCTTAAGGTGGGGCACACTGAACCATTAAGTTTGTGAGATGGCTTAATTTCACCTGATGCATGTCAGCTAGTTATTAAAACAAGTGACCAGAAGATAGCCATTAGCAAAGTAAGCAGATCCAAGAACAACAAGAATGACCACACAGGTGACAGTTTAATGCTCCATCAGTGTTTGGACAGATTGTGCTTTAACAGAAGAGGAAGTGCAGTATTCTCTTTCACTCATGTGTCTGACGCATTAGCACAAACTCTATCTGGAGGTGATAGGCTGAATGTAAATTTTGCTCAGCAGTCTTAGTAACATGAAATTTAAAGGAACTGCGAGGACCTCTAGAGGACAGAAAATTGAGAGAGATTATCTTGAGTGAGCTGTAGAAGCTCACCTGAGATGCATCTGAAATATGAAGTTTGTCAGCCTTGTATATACTTATTGAATTATCCGTCATTCTAAACGTGTTTATAGGTTTTCTGACGTTACTGCCTGGATGGATTGTAACAAATGCTGTCCATATGAAGGTGCTGAAAAGGCAGTGTGTTATTTATCATTTTTACCCCTCAGTCTGAGAGGCTGATGGATGTAATGTCGTTACATGAACACAATAACTCGAATGAGGCGATATGGGATATCAAATTGATATCATAGGTGCATCTATTAAAAAAACCTTGAACAAATTTGAAACTCAGTGACTTCGACCTCAAAGTGTAGGTAAGAGGTCAGGTTTTCTAAAAACAAATCTTGTGAATGTGATAACTCACTAAGGATTTTCAAATTTATACCATATGAGACAAATGGGTAGCAATTTAAAAAACAAAATACGGACTTTATAAAGTGGGCAGCACTGTTGCCTCACTGCAAGAAGGTTCTGAGTTTGACTCCACCATCTGGTCGGGGCTTTCAGGGTATAGCTTGCATGTTCTCCCTGTGTCCGTGTCTGGGAGGGGTTCTCTCTGGGTGGGTTCTCGTAGTCATTCAGGTAGTGGGGTTAGGTTAATTGATGAATCTTATTTTGCCCATGAGTGCAAGTGGTTGTCTGTATATGGTCTCTCTGTGTTAGCCCTGTGTCAGCTTGGCAACCTGTCCAGGATGTACAGGTAGCTATGAGAGGTGGGTTTTTTTTAAAACTGTGTTTTAATTTTTTTTTTATATAAAAATGTGTTTTTAGCCTTTTGAAAGTGGAGGACTGTGTATAAAAATAGCTAAAAGCAATTAACATATTGACACATTGTTTTATGTTTGATGAAGTCCTCTGTGGTAGTGAACAGAGGCAATATTACCAAAAAAGTATCTTTGTTCAACAAATTATGGTTCTAAGTGAACATCTCACTTTGGGCTTTAAGTCACAGTGAGAGGAATAGTCAAGATTTTCTGACATTCTTACAGAGCATTGATGAATTCATTTCAATTTAATTTTATTTATACAGTGCCAAATCACAACAACAGTCGCCTCAAGGCGCTTTATATTGTAAGATAGACTCAATAATACACACAGAGAAAAACCCAACAATCATATGACCCCCTATGAGCAAGCAGTTTGGCGACAGTGGGAAGGAAAAACTCCCTTTTAACAGGAAGAAACCAGAACCAGACTCAGGGAGTGGCGGCAATCTGCTATGACCGGCTGGGGTGAGAGAAGGAAGACAGGATAAAAGACAAGCTGTGGAAGTGAGCCAGAGATTAATAGTCAGATTAGTCAGATTTTTAAAAAAATAATGTGCAGATTGATTGAAATAATAGGTACTTGCAATCTCTAGCTGCCTCCATATGCCTCCTTATGAAGATAACAGGAGTGAGTAGCACAATCAGAATGCCAATTAGGATGGTTTGACCATCAGTCATTCTTAAACTAACTAACAAAGCCAACTTATGTGTTGCGTGCAGACCCTGTGATGATGCTGTTTGTGGTGTAACTTAAATGTTTTGTTTGTCTTTGGTTCTCTTGCAGTGATGTATTGGGAGATTTTATGGAAGGGCGCGGTGCTGTCAGTCCCGGGATCCTCACCCTGACCACAGGCCTCAGTAAACCCTTTATGAGACTGGATAAATACCCCACACTACTTAAAGAGCTCGAGAGACACATGGAGGTGTGTGTGTCACTGGATAGCCATTTTTCTTCAGCTCCTGTGTTTAGCTTTTTTTTGTTAAATGTATAATGTGTCTGCCCTTTTTAGGAGAATCACCCAGACAGACCAGACATCCAGAAGTGCATGTCATCTTTCAAAAGTCTGTCGGTAAGCTGAACTCTCTTCCTCTCCAGACAGACACAACACGTAACCAGACTTTCTATGAAATGAAATGGCTTAAGAAAAGATTTTGAAACAGCCGTCTGTCTCTTTCACGCCAGGCTCAGTGCCAGGAGGTGCGGAAACGAAAGGAGCTGGAGCTGCAGATTCTTACAGAATCCATCCGGCTGTGGGAGGGGGATGACATCAAAACCTTAGGCTCTGTGATCTACATGAGCCAGGTCTTGGTCCAGAGTCAGCTGTCAGAGGTATTTATTTGGCTCCTTCATCTATACTTACTCTGCTATAAACTGCTGCAATATTCCCTTCCTATAAATATAATATTAAAGTGCAGAAATTGTAGTCTTTTGTACACATAGTACAAATAGTTAGTTCAATGCAAAGAGTCAAAATAATTACTGTTAAAGTTTAAGTTAGTGGTAAAGAAATGTGTCCCAAAACTCGCAAAATTTAAATTAAAGCTAAAAACAGTTACTGTTTATACCTGCCTAACCTTTGCTGCTGCAGCCATTTGTTCATCTGTAGACTTTGAAGTGGGCTATACAAGCTAAAGGCATCCTATTTGTACAAAGAAATGCTTACTCATACTCTCTACACTTTCTGCTTTAGGAGAAAAATGAGCGTTACCTCATGCTCTTCCCCCACATCCTCCTCATGCTGTCTGCCAGTCCCAGGATGAGTGGCTTCATATTCCAGGTCAGTAGT